ACGGAAGACCCACTTCCCGGTGAGCACTGTCTTGTTCCGTGCCACGCCGATAGGAACCACTTTCCACGTGTTGCGTTCCTCCAGTGCCTTCAGCTCCTTGTCCATGGCTTCGCGCCATTTTTCCTTATGCTCCCCCCCCAGAGCCTGTTGAACCGTCGCAGGCTCTTTAGGAATGGCGGTGCCGTGGACTGCGGTGACGAGTCCGAGAATTTGCAGTCCACTCTGTGAGTAGCGGGGAAGATTTGCGTCCTCGGGATAAGCTGCTTCATCTCCCGCTTCTGGATCAGGTATGAAGTTGGGTCCTACTCGTTCTGCTTCGTTGGTGTTGACTGTCGTAGGTGTTACGTAACCGTTGTCGGCGAAACAGTAGAAGGTTTCGGCGTTGACACTTTCGCGAGGGTTATCTTCGTCCATGGGAACGTCCACGGAGCAGAACGGAAGAGGTCCGGCTTCTTCTGATGCGTTGTCCACATTCTGCTCGTCCCAGTCAGCTTCGTCCGTTGCTGAAGCAAAGGCTCGGTCACCGCGAAAACCACCTGTGGGATCCTGGTCTTCTTGCAGGTTGGCAAGGTATGTCTGGAGCGTGAGTCGTTCGTAGAAAATTACATCACGTGCTGCTACTGTTTCCTTGGAATGGACGTCGAAGATTTTCCACGCGTTGTAGTTCTTTTCGATTCCCAGGTGTAGTCCCCACTGTGCTCGTTGAGAAAATCGGCCCGCTCGTGCTGCTGGGGGTCGGTACTGTACCATGCATCCGAATACTCGTAACATTTTTGTGCTGCCCTGTTTCCCTGTCCATAGCAGATGCGGTGATGCGTTGTTTGGAAGCGATGATGACGAGAGCAAGTTGTGCAGCATGACGGCGTGGTCCATTGCCGCAGGCCACTGGTGGTTGGGTAGCCGCATGCCACGTAACAGTTTGCGCATGCTGTTCTGCAAGGTCCTGTTCATTCTTTCTGCTACACCTTGCTGCTGATGGGCATAGGGAAGGGAGATGAGCCGCTTGATTCCCCTTTCCGCCAGGGGCTTGAATCGCTGAGAGGTGTATTCTCCTCCTCCGTCTGACTGGAAGCTTTTCAGTTTCACGCCCGATTCTCTCTCTGCTACTGGTAGCCAGGCAACGAAGGCTGCGAATGCCATGTCGCGGCTAGGGAGGTTTAGGTGCCAGACGTAACGGGTGGCGACGTCGATGAAGGTGATTGTATAGTTGTATATTACTTGTCCTGGTTCCCGATTGTACAGGATGTCGCTATACACCTTCTCGAGTGGTGCGTACGCGGGTGCGCTCGGGTTGTGATGAGACGCAAACGGTCGATGTGGTAAGTCACCTTCAGGGCAGGTGAAGCACGTTCCGCGTACTCGTTGAAGTTCTCGTCCGTCGGTCAGTAGGAGTGAGTCCTTGTCGAGTACTCCTGCTCTTATCGTATTGTTTAATACTGTGTTGCTTGGGTGTCCCATCCTTGCGTGCCAGGTGCTTTCGTCGGCGCGATGTCCGGGTGATCGTCGGTACATATCGGAGTTGGAGTAGAAGTTGGCGGTGAAGTTGGCGCTACGATGAACTTCTTGTGGTGCTGGGTGTAGTTGTTGCGCGGGTGTCGGTGGTGTGTCGTCGATGAGGAGCGGTGTCGTTGAAGGACCAGCAATTGGTGTTGACGTTCCTGCTGCTGCCGTTGATGGTTCTGCTACTGCCGATGTTGTCTCTGCTGCTGCCGATGTTGTCTCTGCTTCTGCCGATGTTGTCTCTGCTGCTGCCGATGTTGTCTGAATTGTTGCTAACGCCCTTGTTCTTTCTGCTTCAGGGATGGTGTGTGAGTACCAGAAGCCTTCTGGACTGAAGTCTGGATCAAGGTCTGGAGGGTGTGTCCAATTGGTGAAGTTAACGATGGCGTCGCTGTCGGCGGTGCCAAGATCAGGAACGAAATCAAGAACGAAGACGTTGTTCTTGAGGACCGCTTTGCCGATGTAAAGTCCTCCTCTCCCATGATATAGTTTGAATTCTTGGGTGGTGCTGTCTGCTTCGAGGTGAATCCCTTTCGCCATTAGCTGACTGACGCTCAGTAAGTTGTAGCCGAGTCCCTCTGTGATTAGTACTTTTGACATCTGCAGTATAACGTTTGTTTCCCTTGAATGAAGTTGAACTACGCCTTGTCGTCGTGTTCGCAGTTTCTGATTGTTGGCGACTGTAATGACAACTTCGCGTTGAAGTTGGTGTTCTCGTTGAACGAAGCGTCCCGAGGAGCACATGTGCTGTCCGCAGCAACTGTCCAAGAACCATGTGTCTTTTCCGGATGGTTCGCTTTGGGCGATGGCGGCGTATGTCGGGTTCGGCTGAAGTGACTCGCGGCGGGGTGTGGTTTCGTCGAGTTGTTCTTCCGGTGAGTAGTGTGGTGGTGACTCGGTGATGCAGGAGTCACTCAGCTTTGCCATGCAGCTGACGATGTTTCTTGCTCCTTGTGCAGGTTGTCCCGTTGAAGTCGTTGAGGCTTGAATCTGGGTCGTGGGATTTGCTTTCGTTGAGGCGATTTGGCTGCTTGAAGGTCGAAGTTGCCACTGTGGAGTTGTTGACTGTTGACGATTTGGGCAGTACGTACGCGGGTGTCCTGAAGTTTTGCAGATGTGGCAGAACGGAGGTACTGGCTTCGGTTGTTGCTGCCGGTTGTTGTTGTTGTTGTAGCGTCGCTGAGTGTGGAACGCGAATTCCGGTGCTGATGTCTTCTTTTTGTGTCGTTCTTCTTGCAGATCCATGTCTTGCTGCTCGGCGTGGATTTCGGCGCAGAGCGCTGCTTCGGAGATTCTTCCGTGAGCTCGGAGAATGGCCTTTGTGGCGCGCCATTGAGGACCGAGGCCGCCGATGATGACTGTCACGAAGGCGTCTTCAGAGATCGACCCTCCGCATCGAAGAAGCTTGTCGCGCAACTCGCGACATCGACTGATATACGCCATTCCTTTCTCCCCTGGTTTTATTTCAACCGTTGTCAGTTGCGCCATTAACCGACTTTGGCTTACGCTGTCTGTTGCTTGATACAGGCTCTTCAGGTGGTTGTACGCGAGCTCCGCGGAGTTGTCGTAACCTCGGTAAGACCTTATGTTCTGCTGTTGAGTCGGGGTGATATTCCTCAGTAGGATCGTGTACGCCATCATTGACTGATAGGTGTACTGCTGCTTCTCGTACTGTGTGCCGTTTGTTGGGTATGGCAGAGACCCGTCGAAGAACCCGAGTATCTGCGCGCCTTCCATCATCGAAAGGTCTTGACGTCTGCATCTTCAGAACGTGTGCGAACTGCGACTGAACTTGTAATGCGTCCAGTGATTTTTCTTGTCCAGGTGAAGGCTGTGGGTGTGGCATAAAGCTGATGGACCCGCGCTCGTACGGAGCAAAGGTAGGCTGCTGTTGTTGATTTCCTCGTGCATATGATGAGCCGTCGAGACTCATGGGTGTTGCTCCGTTGTTGTTGCTGTTGTGTGACTGCGCAGGTGCCGATTGCTGGTGTTGCTCGTAGAAGGACATGAAGGAGAAAAACTTCTCCATCATGCTCTGGTCGAAGTCTGCAGGTTGATTCGCGGGAGTCTCGGTAGATATTGCTCTGGGTCTTGTTGCTGTGCCCTCCTCTGTCTGTAGGCCAGAGGCAGGAGGTGGAGTAGGAGTAGTGCCCTGGGAGCCGTTGGAGTTGCTCCTTTCCTTTTGTGTAGCCATGCTTGTTGATGTTGTCGGTATAGAAGTTGAATTCCCCCTGATAGCTCTCATACCATGTTGGGCTGAAAAAACCCTTAGGATCTTTGCAGGGGTGAACTCTGGGTAGAGTTGGTGTAGTAGCAGAAGCGTTGATTAAAGAGTTGTGAACCACCTTGCACTAGTATGTGAGGGCAAAGTAAGTTGATTAAAACAAAGAGATACAAGCTTTTATAAGAGTACAAGGAATACGAAGAGATACAGTTAATAACCGTTTTACTATTGCTGTTGCGGTTCGATACGGTGACGACTCGGGCAACTGCTCAATACCGAGTCAGTTGTTTGTCCTTGCTGTCGCGCTGTACTTTGTCAGGTCAAAGGTCGCTGACCTTTGACTTTCGCGTAACCTCCAACAGTTACTTTCAACCTCCGAGGGTTGACTCGCCGGTGATTCGTTATACTCCGTTTCTTTTGTGTCTTAGTGTTTCGACACGACAGAGGCGCTTAGGACCGATTGTTTCCAACAAGACTCACCGGCCCCTTCCCCCTGGTGGTGTCCTTGAGATCCACCCTGAGCTTGCTTTGCTTCTTGCATTGACTGGTCTTGTGACCGTTTGTTCACCCTGCTTGCTTTGATGCCCCTCACTTAGCCTATGGGGGTGTGTCAAATGTTGATATTGTGATAGGCTGTAGTGAGGTGCTCCTTAGTGAGTACAACTCAGTTAGGGTTTGCTATTTGTATCACCCACATTCCTAATCTCATCAATCCGTTGCATTCCTACTTTGAGACGTCTACCCCCCCAAAAAATTGAGATAGTGGGGAAACGAAGGTGTGGGTGCGGTCCGAGAGAAGATCATAGGCTCTAAATACCAAGTGTTACGAGTGCAATTGAGGGAGCGAGCGAGAATTGCACTATCGAAGCAAAACAGTACAATGAGCGAAGGAATGAGCGAGAACTAAATAGCGAAGGCCACAGTGGTAACGGTAACGAACTGTGGTTGACGCGCGACGGGCCTGTGACTGAGGTCGGGACTGAGGTTGGGAAAGTGTCGAAGCGGAGGCCCGGAGCGCGGGTTACCAGCTGAGCCGGGAGGCTGGGTTGCAACGTGCGAAGTGGCGGGAAGATTGTCGAAGCGAGGGTCGCGAGTGGTAACGGTGCCGAGTGTGGTGCGATCAGTAATGTACGCATTACGCAGGGATGCAGCTTAAGGAAAAGGAACTTTCCTTACACTACTGTAGATTGCAAAGCACATGCTCAAATCTTGCTATCATCAGCATTTATATAACAGCAGTCAGGCAACTACAGCAATAGGCTAATGAAACGTTTTTTCAAGCAAGGGAGATACGCTTGTCATGGATCGGCAGAGGCTGCGGCACCTGGGCCTCGTGTGGGTGCGACTCTCCCTTGTACACCTTGAGGTGTGTGAATAGGCGGCGACCCAACTGGTGTGGAAGGGGCACAAAGCCAGAAGGAAACGATTTATCTATGCTCAGCAGTAAGGAAAGGGGTGAAGGTTACAGCAAACACATTAGAAACCAGGTCCCATACCATCTTTAGTGAAACATACCATCTCATGATCCATCTTTTGTACACCCCTCGCTGCAATTTCACAAAGAAGTACCAATGACTCATCCTATGCTCCCTTATCCAGCGCATCCAAAATCATTCCCAGTGTCCACCTCTCACCAACGCATAAATATTCCCTTCCCGTGAAAAGCATGCCCAACAGCATTCTCCACACAACATGTTCCACATCCCCCAGCATGCATACACAGCATGTCCCACACAAAACGCTCAGGATGTTTTTTCAAAATTGTAGCTCAAGCTGCGTTTCATCATGCCCCACCTCGCTGGCCCCACTGCCCTCAAACCCGTACCCTGCTACCCACCTGCCTGGGCTGCATGCCCCCCACGTCGACCTCCACTGATTTCTCCACTGATGCGGCTTTCTGCCGCTGTCACAATGCCGACCAGCCAAACCACCAAGCCCAGCACCAAGCCCACGACCAGGCCCCAGTCTCCAGGCAAGCAGCGCACCCGACCCTTGGGCAGTGCCCCGCACGGCATGCTCCACGATCCCGTCCAGGATGTGCCTCTATAATCGATCATAGTGTCCCAAGCCCGACCCCATTCCCGAGCCCAAAGCCCAGCCCCAGTCCCTCCCACAAGCCACCAAGTCCCCAAGTCCCCAAGCCCACAGCGCACTCACTCGGCCCTTGGGCAGCATGCCTCGCACGGCGTGCTCGACGATGCGCTCGGGGATGCGTGCCTGCACCTGGTCAAACGTCTCCTCCGTCATCCCACCCGGCCGCCCCGAGTGCCGCCGGTAAATCTTCTGCGCGCGCTTCTTGCCCGTCACCGCCACCTTCTCCGCGTTCACCTGCCAGTGGTGGTGGGGGATGGGGGGGGGGGAGGAGGGGGGAAGGAAGTGGGGAGGAGGGGGGGCGGAGGTCGAGAGGAATGGGGGAGGAGTGGGGGAGGGGAAAAGGGCGGAACGAAGGAAGTTGAGCTCTACGTGCAGTGGGTACATCTTTCTTCGTGCGCTTCTTCCCCGGCAGCGTTCCCATTTCCACGTTCACATGACAGTCGAGCAGGCAGGAATAAGGGCGAAAAAGGGCGTTGCGAAGGTGCCTTGCAACCCTAACACACGACACAGCCGTCGCTCCCACGCACTCACCACGATGACATACGCGCCCATGTCGACGGAAGGCGTGTACGTGGGCTGGTCCTTCCCGCGGATGTGGTTGGCGATGGTGGACGCGAGGCGGCCCAGGCGCTTGTCGGCGGCGTCGACGATATACCACTGCTTCTCCACGTTCAGGTGGTCCGCCTCCTTCGGGTAGTACGTGCGGTTCCAATCGTCCTGTCAACGAGAGAGAGCGGGAGGAATGCACGGTAGAGCGGGGGACAGGGAGGAAAAAGGAGATTGAACCACTGCTTCTCCACGTTCAGATGGTCCGCCTCCTTTGGGGAGTACGTGCGGTTCCACTCGTCCTGTCAGTGAAAGAAGAGCGGGAGGTATCCGTGGTGGAGTGGAGAGGAAGGGGGGGAAGGGGAGGATGAGGGTGATCCGCCTCCTTGGTTCAGTACGGCAGTTCCACTCGTCCTGCATTTCAGGCCAGGAGGGAGACATTGGCAGTTAGGGATGAAGGGAAGGGGAGAGGGAAACCACCGTATCTCACTGTCAGGTGCTCCGCCCTGCACGATTGAGGGGAGGGGGGAAGGATGCGCGGAGAGGAGAACGAAAGAGAATGGAATGAATCAAAGGGCGGAGAAGTGGGAGAGGTGGGAGATTCAGTCAGGCGTGGAAGGAGCAGGCATGCGCTTCGACTGTGTGCTGCGAGAACGGGATCGAGAAGACAATGCCATGGCCGCGAGGAGGCTGACGACTAGAACCTATCTTCAACGCCAAAACCCTGCTTCGCAAGCTGACCTGACTGCTGGCAGCAATCGATGCGCGCAAAGTACGGCTGTCAGTATCGCGCTCACACGGTTCAGCGCAGCGAGCAACGCAAAAAATAACTCACGCTTGTCGACGCGTACGCGACCACCACTAGACGTTAACCGCAGCAACGTGGCGAATCGCCTTAGATACCTGAACCGTCATTCCGATCGAATATGCTAATCCACCACGTTAGGTTAACTACGCGCTGATAGTCGTACGTTGGAGAAAATAAGTCATTCTGAAAAAAACATATTAACTTCAGGGTAACAACGACATGCCCTGGATAAACCTTTTTCGGCCTCTCTGATACGCTATCGAGATCCTAAGGCCGTACCGGTCCCTTGTTCTCAATACCCTCGTACATCCACCGGTGCTCCGCGGGAATGAACCCGCCCTTTCCGGCGCATCTCACGGCGAGCCGGCCATTCTTGCTGGAGTGTGGCTTGGCAGCGGCAAGGCTAACCGCCTTGAGCTGTGAGCAGCCGCCGGTCAACGCGCTGCTGGAAAACGACAACCTCGAGGCGCTCTGCGCGGAAAGAGACGCGGTCGCCATGGCCAGAGCGACTGATGGGAATTGAAGCCTCTAGGATCGTTAGCGAGAAACCCGGAGGAAAAGGGAATGGATTGGGAGATATGGTGGAGGTGAGGTGGTGGTGAGGGGAGAAGGGAAAGGTACAGCAGTGGCTACGGTGGTGTGTGGTGAGGTGAGTGAGTCTGAACTGTCTCTGACGAGTCTTGGGAATTGACGGGGAGATTTGAGGGGAATTCGCCTTGGGAATTGCTCGATTGATGATGTGCGGCTTTAGGTGAGGTAAGCGCTGACGTGGCTGTGCAGAAATGAGGATAGAGCAACGAACGGCTGCGATTTGGAGGCGTGGCTGGTCCGCATGATTTGAGACCCAAAGTCTTCAATACGAATACAGTTGTTGAAAAGTGACTTGGCCTCTGAACCTGAAAACACGGGCTATACAGCAAAATCCGTGTGAAGAGTGATGTTGTGTGTTGTTATCGGAGCACTAAAAACGGAGCAGCACAGTGATGGATTCGTGGAGAAATATTCGCCCCTCCCCCACTCCCTGCCGCCTACCTGGGTTCGTGCCTGCCTGCCTTCCAGTCTCCCGTGCAACAACCGCACAAATGAATTTCCTGCTTGACTTCTCTCGCTCAACCATGTAACCTGTCACAGAATTCCTCTTGTAAGCTGATTCCAGATATTTATTGCAGCCACGTCGCTGTTCGTAGTTAGTATAATCCTCCTAGAAAAAATGGCGAGTCGCGGCGGCAGCAAGCCCGGCAGGGAGAGCAAGGGCGAGAAGGGCAACAAGGACCTCGCCGTGACCGCCGCCGCGATTGACGCGGCGATGGAGACGCCGCTTTTGGCGGAGGAGGAGGAGGACGAGCTGGAGATGGCGAAGGCGTGGAAGGCGGTGGAGGCGGTGCGGGTCAGCGCGGATCTGCCGGCGGCGGCGAAGCAGCTCATCACGCTGCTGCGCCGCGTCGACCAGAACGGCCGGCTGTACGCCGGGCCGGCCGTTAAGGACGCCATTAGGAGGTGCGCCTCGGATCGCGCGTAGAATGCGGCGTTGAAAACGGCCGGTGGATTGCGGTATCGAGGTGTGAATGGAAGGGAGTGTTCGACGCGCGGGGATGCGACGCACAGGAGTGCGACCGTTAAGATTGCGAGGTGTTCGCGCGATACTAACTCTTTCGTGTTTGCACGATTCGGCCTCCGCGCTCGAACAAACCGCAGGTCTGCTGTGACCCATAATCGGCATCATCTGTCTGCCAGCATCGCACACGTCTCCTTCCGACCATTTTCCGCGTCGCTTTTCTCTCCGCATCTCCCTCCTCTTCAACCCACGTTATTCCCCACTACTCCCTCTCGTCGCTTCCCCCCTCCCTCACCCTCTCTTCCTCGCAGGTACGAGCAGTGCTGGCTGCGCATGGCGTACGGGCAGACGGACGACGTCATGCGGACTCTACAGCCGCCGCTGGACGTGCAGTGGGTGTGGCTTGTGCACCGCCTCAACCCGGTACGTGTCTCCTGCTCCTCCCTCCTTCCTTTCTTGTGCCACCAAATCACATGCTCTTTGCTCGCTGCAACCACTGCTGGACGTGCAGTGGGTGTGGCTCGTGCACCGCCTCAACCCCGTACGTGTCTCCTGCTCCTCCCTCCTTCCTTTCTTGTGCCACCAAATCACATGCTCTTTGCTCGCTGCAACCACTGCTGGACGTGCAGTGGGTGTGGCTTGTGCACCGCCTCAACCCCGTACGTGTCTCCTGCTCCTCCCTCCTTCCTTTCTTGTGCCACCAAATCACATGCTCTTTGCTCGCTGCAACCACTGCTGGACGTGCAGTGGGTGTGGCTCGTGCACCGCCTCAACCCCGTACGTGTCTCCTGCTCCTCCCTCCTTCCTTTCTTGTGCCACCAAATCACATGCTCTTTGCTCGCTGCAACCACTGCTGGACGTGCAGTGGGTGTGGCTTGTGCACCGCCTCAACCCCGTACGTGTCTCCTGCTCCTCCCTCCTTCCTTTCTTGTGCCACCAAATCACATGCTCTTTGCTCGCTGCAACCACTGCTGGACGTGCAGTGGGTGTGGCTCGTGCACCGCCTCAACCCGGTACGTGCTCCGTGCTCCCCGCTCCCCCCGTGCCTTTTCCCGCTCTGCTTCCCTGTCCCGTTTGTTCCCCCCTCCCCGTTTCTACATGCCACTGGCTGGAAAAGCCTCTGTCCATCCGCCCAGCCTCCATGCGCCCTCCACCCCTCCTGCCCTCCTATCCCAGGAGGCGTATGCAGAGGACTGCAGCACCATTCTGGGCCGCCTGTTAGACGGGGCGATATTCGACCCGGATGACGACGATGTGGGCAGTGAGAGCGCGCGGGGGGAGGCAGCAGCCACTGCCGCGTGCAGGGCGCTTTGGGAGGAGCTCTTCCCCTTGGAGCCCTACGACCCCCCTGCTCTTGCTGCTCCTGCTGTTGCCGCTCCTGCTGCTGGGGATGATGATGTTGCAGGTGCGGCTGGTGCTGGGGAGGAGAGGGACGAGGGGAGTGGTGCAGCGGAAGGAGACGGTGCAGCAGCTACAGCTGATGATGCTGCTGCTGCTGCTGGTGATGGTGGGGGTGATGGGGCGGAGAGGCAGGGGAATGGAGCAGCAGCAGCGCCAGATGCAGCAGCAGCGGCAGTGGTGCCACCAGCTCTGCCCCCCTCCCTCCCTTCGGAGCTAACTTATGACCTCGAGGCCGCAATAGCGCGCCAGAGCAGCTTCTTCTACCAGGTGCGCGCACAGGAGTGGAACTAACAGGCCCTTTTCCCCCCTCTCCCCCTCCGCACTCTTCCCTTCTCCCCCCTCCCCCCTTGGTGCCCTCGGCGCTGACTGACCTAGATGCGGCTGTAGCGCGGCAGAGCAGCTTCTTCTACCAGGTGCGCGCACAGGAGTGGCGTTCCCAAGCCTCCTCCCCCCTCTCCCCTCTCCTCTCTCTCCCCACTGTCCCCGTCCCTCTTCTCCCTACTCGTTCCCAAGCCTCCTCTCCCCTCTTTTCTCTTCCCCCTCTCCCTTCCTCGCCGCTTGTGCCACGCCGACACTACCTATTGCTCCCTCTCCCGCCCACCCCCATCGCACCAGGTGGATCGGCCATGGATGCTAGAGCGGCAGTACCTACAGGGGTCCCTGCAGCGCTACCGCGTGTTCCTTAACCTCGTCATGCTTCCCCCTCCTCCCCCCTCCCCCTTTTTCCCCTACCCTCCTTCCCCTCTGTCCCCTCACCCCCACCCCAATCCCGCCAGGTGGACCGGCCGTGGATGCTAGAGAGGCAGTACCTACAGGGCTCGCTGCAGCGCTACCGCATGTTCCTTAACCTCGTCATGCTCAACCGAGGGGCGTTCCTCACCCCCACCTATGACATCGACCTGCTGTGGCACGCTCACATGGTAGGGTTGTCGTGGCTGTATGGTGTGGCACGCACACGCGCATATGAAATGGTATGTACGCATGCGTGGTAGTGGTGTTATGCGTGGTAGTGGTGTTATGAGTGCATGCTCAACCGCGGGGCGTTCCTCACTCCCACCTATGACATGGACCTGCTGTGGCACGCACACATGGTAGTTCACATGCATGCATGCATATGGTAGTAGCATGATGCATGCTCATATGACAAGATATGGTATGTCGAACACTCTAATATACAGAACAGATCACTTAAGGGTGTGTGCCACATGTACGAACAGAGGCTTGAGACGTGATGATTCGACAATTCGGGCGCTCAAGAAACATCTTTTTGCACGTACGTGTCACCAAGCGCCTGTACCTCGATCCATGCTCCAACTCCTCTCCCCTCCTCGTATTTCCGCCCCTCATCTCTCCACACCCACCATCAGATGTGTGCAGCATCAGCATACTCTAAAGACAGTGACTGGCTGCTGAGCCATCTGCTGGGACTCGATGATTCCGATGCCATGCCATGCCATGCCATGCCATGCCATGCCATGCCATGCCATGCCATGCCAGCAGCAGCACCCGTTCCACTCCTGCCTCTCTCACCCGCCTCCTACCTCCCCACTCCCCCTCTTTGAACCTGCTCCCCCTCTACCATCCCCCAGATGTGTGTAGCAGCATACACCAAGGACAGTGACTGGCTGCTCAGCCGCCTGCTAGGCCACGACGATTCCGATGCCATGCCAGTGGCAGCAGCCACAGCAGCAGCCTCTTCTACCTCCAACACAATCGACAGCAACACTCGCAAGCGCCTCGAGTGGGCCTACCGAGCCACCGCGCAGCTCTGGGACCGAACCTACGGCTCCCCGTTCGACCGCGCCGGAGCTATGTTCCGAGGCCCGGCGCCCGTGCCTATCCCGCCGCCGCCGCTCGTGGCGCCGAGACGGGTCTTGCCTCTGGAAGGAGGGGAGGGGGAGTTTACGGTTGCAGAGTTGAATGCAGGGAGAGGGTTGGAGCCGCGGATGACTGTAGAGGTGGATTTCATGGTCTGGGGTTTGCTCAATTTCCATCCCGACAAGCCCGAGAATCTCTTTCTCATGATCCGGACGAAACGCGCCGCCCACGATTTCTCGCTGCGCACGCGCTCGCTGCCCGCCCGCCCGGGCTGCCGCCCGCCAGCCTGGCGGCAACGGTGGGCGCTGGAAGCTGAGGTGGCAACAGGAGGATTGCAATTTGAATTAAGAGCTGAATCAGGGACTTTCTGGGGGGGGTTGTGGGGTCCGAGATTGGTGGGGAGTGGAGGTATTACCTGGGAGGAGGTGTTATCCCGCCCGGCTCTACTGGTTGATAGACAGGTGGCGCTGGCCCCTGTTGATCTGCTCACTGCTGTGGGGATCAGAGGGGAGGCGGATGGGGGCGCAGGGGGAACGGGAGGGGGAGGGGGGAATAAAGCAGCAGGCGGGTCGGGGGGAGCCGATGGATCGGGGGGAGGCGGGGGGACAGGGGGGGGAGCGGGGGCGCTGGTGGTGAGTGGGGGAGGGGGGAAGGCAAGTGAGTTGCCGCGGGTGCATGTGGCGGTGTCGCTCACCCCCCCCACAGCGGCGCCTTACCTGCTGCGGACGGTGTTCATGAGAGGCACGGATGACAACGGTTCCATGATCTGCGAAGAAATTGCCGTGCAGCGCGACTTTCGTCCCCAGGTGGGTGAAGGTGCGAGGTGGGTTGGTGAGGTGTGGGTGCGAGCTCATGTGAGGTAGAGAGCAGATCAGGAGTGGTTGAAGGGGTCGTGTTTTTTTGTTTTGAGTTTCAGCAGGAGGGCTGCTTCCGTTCTTCCATTCACGCTCCTTCTCTGGCTCTCTCACCTCCCTCCACTCCCACCCTTTCCCACCAGTACGGGCGATGGGGATTGCGCACGGGACAACCACGAGGACAAGGAGGCAGCTCTCTTTCTTCTGTCAACGCTTGTCTTCTGGTTCTCCCACCTCCCTCCGCTCCACCCTTTCTCCCCCATCAGTACGGGTGGTGGGGGTTGCGCATGGGGTACAACCACGAGGACAAGGAGTGCCCTCCCTTACACCAGCTCTCTTTCTCCAATCTCTTGTTCTCTCACCTTCCTCCGCCCCCACCCTTTCTTCCCCCACCAGTACGGGCGGTGGGGGTCACGCACGGTATACAACCACGAGGACAAGGAGGTGTTTGTCATCCGCAAGAGGTGAGTCTATCCGTGAGGCGCCTCAGAGTAAGACCACGAGGAAAAGAGGGGGTTGTCGTTCACAATGCACTCCGAATCGATCACGGCATACAACCATGAGGACAGGGAGGTGTTTGTCATCCGCAAGAGGTGAGCTTGCATCGTGGTGAGTCCATTCGTGAGGCGCCTCAGAGGTAGATGACGAGGAGAAAGAGGTATTCATCGCGCACAGTGTACAACCACGAGGACAACGAGGTGTTTGTCATCCACAAGCGGTGAGTCTATCCGTGAGGCGCCTCAGAGTAAGGTAGATTGCAGGGAAAGAGGGGTCTTTGGCTCGCACATGCCCAGTTCATTCAAGCCACTCACCCATGCCTGTCAGTTCGCTGGGCGAAGCACGCGCTGCACAATTTGCGACCGTTCTGGGTGTGTCGTTGATATTGTGGCCTTTTTTGAGACGTCTCAAAACGCGCTGCACAATCTGCGACCGTTCTGGGTGTGCCGGTTGGTGATATCGTGGCCTGTATTTTTGTGATGTCTGTTTCAACATGCGCCTGTCACGTTTTGAGGCATCATGAAGGCATCTGGAAACTCGACTTGGAAGCACCACAGCCTATTTGTCTGTTGCTCTCATGTCTATGTGTGTCTGTGTGCATGGCAGGGTGGCCAAGGGCACGTGGCATGCTCGCTATCGGCCCATTCCTGTGGAGCCAAAAGAAAAAGTCATTCTGTTGCACCAGGTGGGTCATTCTGTTGCACCAGGTGGGTCATTCTGTTGCACCAGGTGGGTCATTCTGTTGCACCAGGTGGGTCATTCTGTTGCACCAGGTGGGTCATTCTGTTGCACCAGGTGGGTCATTCTGTTGCACCAGGTGGGTCATTCTGTTGCACCAGGTGGGTCATTCTGTTGCACCAGGTGGGTCATTCTGTTGCACCAGGTGGGCCATTCTGTTGCACCAGGTGGGTCATTCTCTTGCACCAGGTGGGCCTTTTTGTCATCATTCTGCTCATCAGGTGAGTCATTCTGTTGCACTCAAGTGAAAGTAATGCGTTCTGCTACTCACGTCTGGTACCTGTATCCTCTCCTTGCCCTGTGCATCACTTTTCCACTCCTCCCCACTCCTCCCCTCGTTTCCCCCTCTCCCAGGGTGGGTGGCGTTATATCGAGACCGACCCTGTCCCCCTACCCGAGCCAGAGCCGCCGCACCTGCGGGTGGGGGTGGTTCGGGGGCCAGTGGTGGCGCAGGCGGTGCCACAGGCGTCGGATGACTATGATCAAATCCAACGGTTCTGCTTGCTCGACTGCCTTCCCAACGGCCGCACCGCCACTGTCACCATCGAGCGCCGACGCGACGCCACGATATTCATACAGGGGATACAGCTGACACTAGAGGAGGAGGGGAACAGTCGGGTGAGTGTACATGGGTGTCTGGTTCGCCATACATGAATGGTGCCATAATCTGCATCCAGGGGATACAGCTGATGCTGGAGGAGGGGACCAGCGGGGTGAGTTGCTGTGACAGTTGTGAACTAGCTGTTGTAAAGGGAGAGGGTCATGCCTCACCCTGCTCTCCCCTCACCCTGCTCGCCCCTCACCCTGCTCTCCCCTCACCCTGCTCTCCCCTCACCCTGCTCTCCCCTCACCCTGCTCTCCCCTCACCCTGCTCTCCCCTCACCCTGCTCTCCCCTCACCCTGCCATTCCTCCCCCCATCTCAATAGGTGCTGCTCCTGCCAGGTCGTCACCACAAGTACAAGGTACCAGGAGCCCCTTCAGTAGAAGACCTGGGCTTCGCCACGCTCATCCGCTTCCCCCCAGACGCCCCTCACGGCCGCGCCACGGCCCTACTCAACTGGAAGGGAGCAGCCATGGAGGTAGCACCAGACGAATCCGTGCCCCTCGTGCTGCTGCTCTGCACCTGCCTCTCTGAGGCTATCAATGACATGGCGGGAATCAACCGCGTCAGAAGGTTCCGGCGCCTGCCATTGGCCGATCCCGATCCAGCCAATCACTGGGGCGCGCTGAGCATATCAAGGGATACCGTCGGCGGGGCGGCAGCAGCGGCGGCGGCTAAGAATGGGGAGGAGGAGTTTTCGTTTTCGAGTGTGGAGATGAGTCGGCAGAAGTGGTGGAATAGGAGGCCGCTGCGGTTTGCAGTGGGGGCTGGGAGCTGTGGTGCTGGTGCCTGTGGTCCGAGCTGCACTGGCCCTGTTGATATCTTCAGTGGGTGAGGCTGTGGTGTGGTAACAGTTTTGATGTATGGATGTTAAATATTACCATGTACCGTATTTACCCATGGGTGCTATAAGGAACATGTTATGGTAGTGGTACTGTATGTGTACAAGGAACATGCAAGAGAATTGGGTTACAGACAGGAACACAACCTTCCATCCAGCTTAGTTTTGGTTGTTTCGTGTGTGTGTCACATGCGACTAAAGTGTAATTCAGTTTTCACTGGTGTTGTTTTCCAGCCAGTGGTGTTTGTATGGGTGATGGCAACCACACTGCCAAGCAAAGGTGCTTGGTAGAGTAAACTTGGAAGGAAGGTACTTAGTACTATGAGCATTGTGTATGAACACGTTCACACAATGCTACGACAATTCGTAAAAATCCACATCTGCACTCAAACCCCAGCACCAACACAATTGGCATCATTCTTTCTTGAAAACAGTTTCTTAGATAACGGTGCCATCAGCAATGGTGGCGTTCTTGAGCACAACTGTGATGCCCGAGCGAATGTAGAACCCATCCGTTGACCGATCCGCCTCCTCCACATGCTGTGCCAGGCAGCAACGGGTTAGGGGAAGGGGAAAGGGAGAAAGGGGTCCGCAGAAGGAAGGAAGAGTTGATTGTCGGCGGGTAAGGGTTACGGAGAGCGGAGACTAAAAACGTGTGGTTTTGTGTTGAAGGGCTTGGAAGTGGCAGGGTAGTGGACGAGGTGAGGCCTGGTGGCATGGCATAGCGGTGTGATGGAATGGCGGCATGGGGGTATGACTCACATCCTTGTTCTCGAGGATGACATTTTGTCCGATACGTGCGTTCTTGTCCACAATGGCGTTGCTGCACATTCCAGAGACACGCACACACAGCAACACACAGATCAACATTTCAGCACTATGGTCTTTCCTGCAACCCCACCACATCCACCAATTGGAACACTCCCCACTCATCTGCTGGCCCTTCCATGTGATAATTCCCTATTTCTCAATACCATGCTCCCTCCCATCCACGGAGAGCTAATTTCCGCCTTACTGCAACCAGCAGCATTGGCTTCTACTCTCTCCCAAGAGCACCATTCAACCCCACTGCCCTATACATCCAGTCCCACAGCGCCCTATACATCCACTCATACATCCGCCCCTTACACATCTCCCAGCTGCCTCACCTCTCATACATATCCTCTGCACACCAGATTCTTGTGTGGCGTCAACAGCCAGCCTCACCTCGCCCGTTACCAGCATCGCCCCCTCTCATCTCTCAAGCACACCATACCGAACCCCGGCTTCTCTGCTTGCCTTTCCCACACCTCCCATTGCCTAATACGCACCTGATGATGGTGTTGGCGCCAATGCCCACCGGCACCTTGCCCGCCGCCAGCAGAGCGGCCCTCTCAGCGTCCGTCTCATAGAAATCCGCGCCCACCACCATCGTATCCTGTGGATACCAGAGGCGTGCCACACAACAGGTGCAGAAGAAAGTGAGGGAGTGAAGGGGCGATTGATGGGGAGAGGTGAGAGAGGGTGGCAGCCCCAAGAAAATCTCCCGCCGTAGCCACTCTCTGCTTGGCCATAGCCACTCTCTGCTCTCGCCGTGACTGTCCCATTCTCGCAGCTGCTCTGTATCACACCCACACCCCCATACTGCTTCGAGCATCACACCCATACTCCTCTGCTCTGCACCACTCTGACTCCCTCTGCACCACTCTGACTCCCTCTGCACCACTCTGACTCCCTCTGCACCACTCTGACTCCCTCTGCACCACTCTGACTCCCTCTGCACCACACCACACAGCGCCAGTTCTTTGTCCAGAGAACCAGCTACCGCCAGCGCCGGTACCATCCCACTGCAGCATCTTTGCAGCAGCACCTTTGATACAATGTGCGTGCCTTTCCCTTGATTCGCCCAAGCGCTAGCTCTAGAAAAGTCGGGGGGGGGCGACGACTGACCTTGAGAACGACGCCGTTCTCGAGTCTGGAACGGATGCCGACGATGCAGTGGTCCACGGTGCAAGATCACTCTGCACCACTCTGCACCACTCTGCACCACTCTGCACCGTGCCAGCTAGCTCTACAAGAGGCGGGGGGGCGGATGGGCGAGTGACTGACCTTGAGAATGACGCCGTTCTCGAGTCTGGAACGGATGCCGACAATGCAGTGGTCCACGGTGCAGTCGCGCAGGAAGCACCCGTGCGAGATGATCGACCGCTTCACCTGCTCATTCACACGCACACACACCCATGCCGCGCCCATGCCCACGCACCCACCCACGCACCACACACCCGAAAGTGAGCAACGCGTAGCAGATAATTACAACGTTTCAAGAACCTAGACAAGCAGTGACAGGGAAATTGTAGGAGAATGAGTGGCATGGCCGCAGAATGAGGCGCGCGTACCTGGCAGCGCTCAATCTGCGTGGGCGGCAGGTAGCGCGGCGACGTGTAGATGGGGTTGGCCGCGTCGTAGAACCTGAACTTGGCGTCCTGTGGTACGGCAGGCGGGAAGGTTTGGGGAGGGGGGAGGCGGTTGGGGGAGAAAGGTAAGAGAGGAGATTCATTGTACAGATACGCGTGAGTCGAGTTCATTCGCTGGTGGACACACGCGGGAACTGACAGGCAACGAGTGAATAGCGCACGGGTGTTTCAGGGGATGGACACTGGGGGCAGGTGAAGCGAGTCCGGGAGTAGCGGAAAATAGAGTGGGGCAGGGCATGGCGAGGGGAGAGTGGAGAGGGGCTGCGCGCGTACGGTGTCGGTGAGGTTGAGGTTGGCGTCAAAGAAGGACTTGATGGTTCCGATGTCCTCCCAGTACCCGCCGAACAGGTACGCCTGCACGTTGTACTCGGCGGCAGACGCGGGGATGATCTCTCCGCCGAAGTCGTTCGACGTGGGGAAGCGCCACCTGCCGCGCGGAACGGGGAAGCAACGGGCATGCGCGACGACAGCATGTTTCGCGTTACATGAGCACAAAGCGCCGTCGAGTATGCGCGCGGCGGGATTATGCTGGCAAGGAAAGAAGAACAGCGGCGGGCGTACGTGCAAGGTGCGTTGAACGAACTTGAGGAGCAGCGGCGGCAGTACCTGAGGAGCGGCGGCGACAGTACCTGAGGAGGCGAGGCGGGGCTACCTGAGGAGCTTGAGCAGGATGTCCTTCTTGAAGACGTAGATGCCCATCGACGCAATGTAGGGGAACTTGGCCGCCTCGTCCTTGGAAATGCCGAGGATCGACGTGTCCACCTCCTGGTAGACGGACGCGAGATGGCATGGAGGAGAGGATCGCGAAGGCATGAAACTTGAATCCCATTTATCTACATGGCACGAGTTTGGTTCGTACGTACTTGCAGAAACGTAAAAAAACGGGGGGGGGCGGGGGGAGTTCTAGAAGGATGCACACACATTGTCTTTCTTTACAGGCACGCTCTTAAGGACTACCCAGCAATAAGGCATAATATCGAGCGGAAGGAAACGGCCGTGAACTGACCATGGCCTTGAGGTCGGCACCCTTGGGCTTCTCGGCGAAGCTGACGACGCGGCCGGACTCGTCGATCTTCATCAGCCCGAAGTCGGACGCGCGGCTGCGAACAACAGCAGGGTATTGTCGCGGTTTAGAACACGGCACACCAGACGAAAACTTCCAGCAGTGCAACACTCAGAATGGCATGGAATGCACAGGGATTCAAATAGCCATGGGCAGCACGGAAAGGCGTGGTGTGGTGTGGTGCGGAGTGGTGGAATGTATACCTGTCGTCCATGGGCAGAACGGAGATCGTGATGTCGGCGTTGGTGTCCTTGTGCTTCTGCACTCAGCAACCACGCAGAAACACAACCATTGCACGGCATGTTAGGAACTCGCAGGGCAACAACTCGTATCAGAGCGAGGAAATGTACAGCCATGGTATGCAGAACAGCTTCGGCACACTCTTGAGAAGTCTCATACATGCAATACACACGTGAGAAAGCCTGCGAAGGGACGCGTTACCTGCACGAAGTCCATGTAGTCCATGCGATAGAGATGGTCGCCGGACAGAATGACCACATCCTCCACGTGCTTGTTCTTCACATCCTGCCACACCCAACACCATCGGTACGCACGCACATGATGAAGCGCTTGACGAAATGTGCGAGGAAATCCTTCTCTCTACGTTCCAATCTGACAAAAATTATGGCAAAAAATGTGTGAAGCTGGCCCGTGAAGAGCGACGACAGTCGCACCTCGAAGAGCCAGGAGAACTGTCGAACGGCATCGGCGGTTCCTTGGAACCAGTTGGAGCCCGTCGCAGGAGTCTGAGTGGCCGCAAGAGCCTGAGAGAAAAAGAAGGAAAAAAAAAACGGTTTGGACGCATTTCTTATGATGTAAGATAATGCAGGATAGGGACGACGACCAGCACGAGTACGCACCTCGACGAATCCGTCGCCGAAGTTGACGCCGTTGCCGAAGTTGTAGGTGCGCGCCAAGTGGCGATTGAGCGACGCGGAGTTGAACTGCGTGAGGATGTACACCTTGTTGATGCCGCTGTTGATGCAGTTGCTCATCGGCACGTCGATCAGACGGTACGCGCCGCCGATAGGCACCTGGCGAACGGGAAGATTGACAGGATATAGATTCACCCGTCAGCCCCGACATTTCATGCAGTATCTGCCTACGAAATTACGGCACGCGTCTGATCTGGTGAATAAATTCGACGGCTTATACGCGTACCGCGGGCTTGGCGCGGGTCTTGGTGAGAGGGAAGAGACGCGTGCCCGCACCTCCACCGAGAATCACCGAGACGACTGACTTGGGATCGGCGCGCTTTGTCCTTGCCTGCCATGGATGAGAAATGGCGTACGAGGTCAGTAAGCTATCAGAACTACTATCCAAGGAGAACTATGGACGAACGCTAGATTGAGGCTACGGCGAGGTCTGTCCTTACCACAGACTGCTGTGGTGTGGCTTCAGCGAGAACGGCGGAAACGGCAGCTTTCTTGGCTGCGCGCACCGCAACCTTCTTAGACTCGCATCTCAAAGCTTTGCCTTTCAGCCCCGACTGCGCAAATCCCGCGACTTTCTCGCCGGAAAACGCCTTCCTGGATGCGGCATCGCTGGCAGAGACGGCTGCAGGAACCGACAGGCTTCGCACAGCGGTGGCAGCCATTTTTGAGTTATCTAGCACTCCTGGATGTGGAAAGATGTGCTAATCTGTGTCAAAATTCCACGACTCCTGTCTGGGAATTCTGCTGGTCGCTCCTTGTGAAACAGAAGCAAGAACAGCTATGTAATAGAAGCAGCATCCTTTCTACGCCTGCTCCACTGTACCATGGGGAATTGTGGGGAATTTTGGCACTGTGGCTTATCTTCCAGACCTAGTGGATGAGAACGCACCTTGGCAGCTGGTCCCTGATCCATGGCGGAAAGCTGCCAGCGTGGCATCTCGCTGTGCTGGCGACGGTCGTCTGCCCGCTCGCCAGGCACTCGACGCCAAACAAGTGCCTAGAGAAACCTCGTGCCCCGTCACGCGCAGCGTCGCCCGTCAGCGATCTCCAGGAAGTTCCGTCGCTGGTCACATGCGACCGAGCCACGTGGCGAAGGTTTAGAACTTGTGGGGAGTCATGGGCGGACATGGAGGGTCTTCACTTCTCAGCCACTGCTTTGAACGAATCAAAAGATATTCGTATGCCACTTCAAGGCATCTTGAACTCTATATCGAATATGCACTGGAACGACAGAAGAAACGTTGAACCCAAACTACCTCATTTCAAATGCGCTAGGAGCTCGGCTCACAACAAACTTGCAAGTGTGGTGTATATTGGTGCTGTCACTGAACTGACAAATAATCTCAGTGAAAAACGAAGGCTATCCGTATGGTGATAAATGAGTGCCAAAAATGTTATTTTACTACAAAAAAACACACATTTACCTAGCTCCATGCCACTGACTGTAATATGTACAACATTTACAGGCATCTTCACCATCAACATTGAAGAGCCAATAACCCTCAGGAAAACTACCGTAATGTACTGTGGCTAGTACAGCAACTCAACTTTCAAGCCCCTCGGAAGAAGTCAGATGCACTGGCATTGCCTTCACGCAGCACATGCCCTCTCCCGCCCACCACCTCATTGCATTCAGGACAACGAGACTCCACCCATGCCCTGCCACACTCCCCTATCACATACACATGCCCGTTCGGGCACCGATACCAGTGCCCTCCTCCCAGGCCTATTGCTCTGTACACGTCACCCTTTTCACGCTCGGTAAGGGTGAAATAACGAGGCGCATCCTCAACAGATGCTTCTAGAGCAGGCAGATCCTCATTGAGTAGATTTCGAGCGCTTTTCCCAAGGGTGGCCTCGTCTCTGATGGAGAGTAAGTGGTGGAAGGCCACCATGCCGCACTGTGTCTTGGCCTTTTTGAGGTACTCCAGCTGCTGCCTCTTTATCATATCCTGCAAGAAAGCACAATGCCAAGGTAACCTCGAGCGATCGTACCTACCTAAGCCACTCTAGAACTTGACAGAAAAGTAGAGAAGCTAACAAGATGTGTAAGTCTATGAAAGCAATGTCTGGAGATGCAAAGGACAAGCACAAGAGCAACAGTGAGATCACCAGGGCAGTCGGGGTGTTGGAGAGCATGCGTTCCGCCATCAAGCCCTCCACGAACGCTCGCAACACATCTACCAGCTCCAGCCGCGCCCTCGCCTCCAGCCGCACCGCCTTGCGCTTACCAGCCCACTCCACCGCCTCCACCACATGCATCTCCGCGTTCCTCACACTCGTACGCACCACCTCCCTGCACCTCTCCACACAGCGGGTCAGATACACCACCTTCCTGCTTCTGCTGCTGCTCTCCCCGCTCGTGCCAGCCACAGTCTTCCGGAGATTCCCAAGGAGGTTCCGCAGTTGGAGGAAGTTGGCAGCCATGAGCAGCTGAAAGGCTTTCCCCAGCATCATACGGGCCTCACAGAGGGGCCTGGGGTCTGGGCGGGGGACATAGAGCAGCTGGCACTCCTCCTCCCATGTGGATTCAGATGAGCCTGCACGAACCTGCCTGCCCTTCCCGCTGCCATCGACTGCAACCCACCCACCGCTGCCACTGCTATATGTCCCGCGGGACCTGTGCCCGAAAAGGTAGTGCTGTCTCTGCAGGGCTGCTACAGATGCCTGGTAGGTCTGCTGCGTTGGTGGGTTAGCAGCGGTAGCACACAGCTGGCCTCCCTCATGCACCAGGCGTGCTGCCGCCTGAGCTACCTCCCCCAGCCGCCTGGGCTGAGCGGGTTCTGTGAGTGATGAAATCACCTGGCTCAACCGCGCTAGCTTCCTCTGCACCACTTCGTGGTCTGCCAAGCAGCTGAGCGCGAACTTGCGCTCTGATTGGTCCAGCAGGGCCTTGTTGACCATCCTGCCGTACCGGCGGAGCCCTGTGATTGGCTGACGGCACTCCGGGCAGCCCTTGAGCATGGACAAATCACCATCCTCAAACGGTAGCACTGCCACCCACTTGCGCCCACACTCCCCTCCACCTTCACTCATACCACTAGACCCACTCGCACCCCCAGTTGCCCCACCAGCCCCACCACCCGCCTCTAAATACGCCTGGTTCAACCCCATGTGGCCATCCAGAGTATCCACTGTATAAGCATGTCCGCATCCCAGTACAACCACAGGGCTCTCATCCGGATCAATCTCCCCCAGCGTCTCCAGTGTGACTAGATCCACTGTCATCCCTTTCTTCTCCGCTGCCCCACACCCAGCAGCCGTGCAAAACGCCTCAGAAGGGCATTTCTCAGCACAGAGAGACGGACACTGGTGGCCACATTTCAGCGTTTTCGCACACCGCTGCTCGCAGGGAAGGCGGTCGCAGGGGGCGCCGCAGGGGAGGGAGCACGCCCCTTGGTGAACGCAGCGCCACCCGCAGGGCTCGGCGCATGGGGCACAGGTGCGGTGGCAGGGCTGCGGGCAGGAGCTATGCTGGCAGGAAACGAGGCACTTGCGCGTGCAGGGGTTGCAGGGTCGGTCGCTGTGGCAGGTGTCGGGGCACAGGTGGCCACAGGGGAGGGGCCGCTCACACCGCTGCATGCACTTCCTGTGCTTCCTTTCCACCTGCTGCTGCTGCTGCACCTGTATCTGCTGCTGTGGCTCTGCCTGCTGGACCTCTGCAGTGGCAGCTGGGTCAATGATGCAGAGGCCACAAGGGGAGATGCAGGTGTGCCCACAGGAATCCTCGAGTACAGCCCCACAGCGAGCCGTGCAGAGCTTGGGGTTGCTTGTCCTGATTGCCGCCTCACTGCACTTCACAGTTTGCTTGTGCCCGCACAGTGGCATCGTCACCTCCACTCTCTCCCTGCCATGAGCCACACGATTGGATTAAGATACGGGCAGCACAGGCAGTTTGAAACAACGAGGTTAGGTAAAAAAAAGAGTGGAAATAGGAGAATGGATGGAAGAGGAGACAGATGGATGAACTCACGGGCAGAAGATGGAGGTTGGCTTCTGAGCTTGGAAGCACGGAACATTGAAGGCGGGATGCCCACACGGGAGAGTGAGCGCTCTGATGGTGACGGTGCAGGGGCCACAGGCCTCCCCACACTGCTTGGGGCAAGTGTGCTGGTACGGACACTCCTCCAGAGGGCGGATCCGGCTGCACTCCTTGGGGCAAAACGCCCTTGCGTGTGCCCTGTCGTCGCCATGACATCTGTTGGTTGGAAGGAGGAAGAGAGATTAAGATGAGGAAGCCAGAAGGACGAGGACTACGGAGCCCATCCTACCTATCAACAAGGACAACATTGAAACCCCAGCAAGTTAGAGATGAATGCAACGCATGCATGTACTTCGGACTGTGCCTGCATGAGCCGCAAGCATGCACGTAGTTCTGACCTGCGGGGGCACGTGTGACCGCAGGGGGTGAGGCGGAAGCCGCACATCTGGGAGCACCCGCCCTCGCTGGCCTTCTCCTTGAACTCCCTCGCGTCATGGATGTGCGTCACTGTGTCGCTGTGGTTCACACACCGCAGGGGAATGGACCGCCCCACACGCCCCCTGCTCTGCAGGATGGTCAGAATTCGCGGCCAGAGGACGGACTTGGAGCTCGCCCTCATGGTGCTCGCGTTGCCTGCTCTCAGAGTGGGGATTGGGACGGAAGAGGGTAGAATGCCCCAGGGAGGGAAGAGCGAAATGGAAATGCTTTCTTGGCATGCCTGCCTTGTGTTGACATCGGGTGGGAAACGACACGAGATGGAAAACGGCACTGGGTGGGGTCATGTGGCTTTTGTGGGTATGCCATGCTGCCACGCACCAATGATGTACATGCCGTGCTGCCACGCACCAATGATGTACATGCCGTGCTGCCACGCACCAATGATGTACATGCCGTGCTGCCACGCACCAATGATGTACATGCCGTGCTGCCACGCACCAATGATGTACATGCCGTGCTGCCACGCACCAATGATGTACATGCCGTGCTTGGCGCGGGACAGCAGCACGTTGGTGCGGTTGGGGCTCTTGAGGAAGCCAATCTTGCCGTCCATGTTGTTGCGCACGAGGGATATGATCACCACCGTGCTCTCCTCTCCCTGGAAACTGCACCTCGCCACACATCACCAATACAAGAATGAGCATCTTTAGAATCTGTTGGGACAAGTCAAAGGGAGCTGCTGCTGCAGTCGCCAGACTTACTTGTCCACCGTGGCCAACCGCACTGCATCCTTGAGATTCGCTGTCGTCGCCTTGGGAGCACTGGGATCCAGACCCACCCCCAACCCCTTCCCCGCCACCCACGACCCTCCAGACGCCCCTCCCCCACGTCCACCCTCCCCCGCCTCAGCCCCACCTTCCCCAGCTCCACCCTTCTCCTCTACCTTCTCCACCTGCTCTGCATCCCTCTCCCCCAGCCGCACATCCACCACCTGGGAAAGCGCCTGGCGCAGCTTCAGCAGCTGGCCTACATAGGGCGTGAGGATGGTGATTTCGCCGCCCGTGTACCCCTGCTGTAAGAGGTACGTGGCGAGCCCCACCACCATGGCGGCCTCGCCGTCGTTGGACTTGGACTTGCCCTCGTTGAAGTCGTCCAAGCCGCTCTCAGGACAGTCATGGTCCCAGAAGTGCAGGTTCACCGCCATGCCGCGCACGTCAGGGTACCTGGGGAGGGAGGCAGGGAGGGAGGGAGATATGGGGTGAAGATGTGGGGATAAGATGTGAGAAGAAGATGTGGGGAGAGGATGTATGGATGACACGTATAGATCCTTCAGGACGATGACAACCAAAATTGCGAGTCTGACCTACAAAAGAACAAGAAACATACCCGCGCACGAGGGGATGGTCCTGCAGATCCGGGTAGATGGTGCAGCGGATGAGGTCGGCAATCTCGGGGCGCATGCGGCGCTGCGTGGCGAGTGTGTACACGGGGAGGCGCCTGGAGAGCGCGAGGCGCTCAAAGAGTGACACGTCCAGGTCGAAGCCCTTGTGTGAGTCCTTGCTCAGCTCGTACACCTCCACCTTGGGCCTCAGCTGCAGGTGGTCGCCTGGGGGGAGGGACGTGTCATGCCGGGATCGAGATGGATTTGAGAAAGGGGAAGGTGGATGAGCAAGAATTTCGCCCTCCTTCCTCAGCTCGTACACCTCATACGGGTATTCAGACAGGCATAGGCAGGCCACAGGGGTATCGACAAATGTAGATGCGACACACACATCCATGGGCTGAGGTGTGCACAACAACCCCAGCTGCTCCCATACCTATGAGGATGATGTGCTGGGTGCGCGGGGTGAGCGAGGTGAGAATATGAGCCTCCAGCACCTCAGCGGCCTCCTCCACAATGACGACGCGCGGGCCAAGCGCCATGATGAGGCGCTGCATCTTGGCCACCCCGGACGTGGTCATGCCCACCACCTGCGCTCGCTCTAGAATCTCCAGCTCCTCCATCTGCTGCAACTCGCTGCGCTCCTTCACCTTCCTGCTCACGCACGCACACAGCACAGCACCGGTGCTGCTCAGCAAACACAACGGCAGCTCAAAGCTAAGAGCAAGAATCTGTGCGAGTTGTAATACCTACCTTGCCAAGTTGTGATACCTACCTTGCCAAGTTGTGATACCTACCTTGCGAAGTTCTCAACCTCAGCCTCAATTGCAGCGTTCGCTGTGTCGCGCAACTCCCCCACCCAGTGCTCCAGCAGCTTCCGCCTCTCCTGCGCACTGGTCGCCCATGGATCCGCCACGCACAGCAACTCCTCCACCCCTCGGTCACTCCTTTCATCGACCTCCTCTGATTCCATCTGATTCTCCTCGATCTGATTCTCCTCCACCTGCTCCTCCCATTCGCCCCTGCCTGTCTGGTTGCCCAAGTCACCGAATGCTTGGGACAGATCCTCCACACTCACCCCTCCTTGCTGCTGCCCGCCCTGGCCTCCCCACATGCCTCCCCTTATATCTGCCCCACTGCTCGCATTTCCGAATCCCGCTCCTCTCTCCAGCCCTGCTCCCCCTGGCGCCCCATACCCGAGCCAGGAGTGCAAGCCAGCAGCAGCACCACTGCCTGTGGCCCATCCTGCGGCACCACTGCCGCCACCTCTAACATGTCTTGGCCTTCTCACCACCGCCTCACCGTCACCATCATTCCCATCATCACTCCCATCACTACCATCATCCCCATCACCATCCCCATGCCCATCATCATCAACATAGATGGACGACATGAGCTCAACGAGCCCTCTCAGCTCATCCCCCACGCCGTCATCTCTCTCATTGCTGCTCACATGCCACCCCTCCCCAACCTCAACCCCTCCAAGCCTTCCCAAGGCTTCATACGGATTCTGAGTAGGCCCCTCATTGCTGGCAGTCGATACACCCACCTTTTCCCTGTCCCCTAACCCCGTTTGCATCATTCGAGGAGGTAAATCAAGCCTGACGGAATCTCTTCCCTGGTTAAAAGCTCCCTTTTTGCGGCAGGGAGTTTTCTTTGGCAGCCCTCGCTTCCATCGGCCCCAGTTGTCTTGCCCACCCACTTCCTGCCAAGGGAGCAGCAAAAGCAAAACGGTCAGGATCAGGCGGAAGTTGGAGTTGCATTGTGTGCGGAAATCCCGAAAAAGAGGAGATAAAAAGCATGCGCCCTTCAACCGTCCAACCAACCCACCTGAAAACCGTCGTTGTCTGCCGCCTTGCTGGCAGCATGGAGGGCATAGAAGTAGCCGGGGTGGTTGGCGAGGAGGTGCGGGGCGATGGAGCGCCAGGTGAGCGAGAGGGCATTGTCCGTGCGGTGCTGCAGAGCATCGCTGTGTGTGCGGATTACCGCCTCCACCTCCTTGAGCCTGCTGTGCACCTCGTAGGTCGACTGCCTGTAGCCTGCATGCACACACACACAACCATTATCATGAGCCCACACCAGACATTGGACAACTCTTGAGACGTCTCAAAAGTCACCTCGTAGGCCCAGTGCACGCGCACACACGAGGACACGGCAGGCAGGTGCGGAAGGTGCGACTTTCTGTGCACAAAACTCTGTTTCTTGTTCTGTTCCTCGTAATAAGGCTGTACTCTTCTTATGCGAAAGACTGGCAAGGTCGCAACTCACTGCGGCTGTGGTGCAGGTGCATGTCTCGCATGATGGTGGCGAGATTGAACTGCTGCAGCGACTCGCACCTGCTCCTTCCCCCCACTCGCACCACCTGCTAACGCAGACATCATCGCAAGTATCACCACCACAGCAACAGCCTCAAACTCCTCAGAAAAAAACATGGGGCAAGGAAGGATGGCACATGCTATTTGCTGCCCCATGTATCACTCCTAGTTGGAGGAAGGCCAGCAGCAGCACAAGGAGCGTAACAACGCACAGTCCCACCCACAGCAACTGAACTCACGTTCTTGATGCCGCTGGCAATGAGGCCCTCCAGGAACTGATCCAGCGCATGGTTGGTGAAACACACGCATAGGATGGGACCCAGTCCACCGCCCCCACTGCTTGCTCCTCCAGAATCAGCGCTCTTGAGGGCATTGCTCAACAGGATCTCCACCAGCTTTATCCCCACAAACGTCTGCCATGCCACACAGCAGCCTCAGTTAGCATTGTGCGTATCGCCTACAGCCTACAGCCTACAGCCTACAGTCTACGCATACTTCCTCTGCCAAACGGCAAAGATGAATACTTCAGCAACACAGTGACAGACACAGCTGACAGCGTGAGACAATCACCTGGGTGTGACGCACATTCATTTCCTACCCTTCCAGCTGATTGTCCCACTCTGTCAGCCCACCACCCACCCACCCACCCACCCACCTACTGACCCAATTCTGAGGCGCCTCACAACCCACCTTGCCGGTTCCTGGTGGGCCCTGAAGCAGAGCAAGCTCCTGAGTCAAGGCGGCCTGGAGAGCCACGGCTTGGGGCTGGTCCAGCGAGGTGCAGTGCAGGACAGGATCGATGGGAAAGGAGGTGGGGTTGGAGATCGGCACGTTACTCAGGGCAAATGTGTCCTCGGGAGCTTTCTCTGCCTGCGCAGATGAGGGCTTCGTCTTGAGCAGCAGGCTCAAGTCATACCTGCAAACAAAACAAAGCATACGGGAGTTTAGTTGCTCTAGCATCTGCCAAAATGCCGAGGTTCAAGAGAAGCAACCAATGTCAGCTGCTTGCGGATCGTACTGCCCATTCCAGATCTGTCCCCGCTTCCCACCCAGCCCTACCCCTCCACAATGAGAACTGCCAAATATCTCTCACAACCCCCCTTTCCCCTCACTCCAATCCCCGTGCCTTTTCCGTCCCACTTACATCATCCCTGTTTCGATGTACGCAGGCAGCGTATACCCCAGAGTCGCAGCAGCCCCGCCAGGTGCCCCGCCAGGTGTTCTAACAGGTGTCCCGCAGATGTATTCAGCAAAGGGCAGCGACGCCTCAGTGATGCCCTGCAGGGCCTTGAGAATGGGCTCGTATGCAAAGAAGCTCCCATGCGCCTCCAGCATCACCACCTGCGTGCTCCCTGCGCTGCCTGCACTGCCGTGCCGGGCGATCAGCCCCAGCAGGTCTGCACTAAAGCCATTCTCCCCACACGGCTGCACTCCAATCTGCGGTCGGGCAGTGGCAAGCCTCTCTGTGTCCCTCGCTGTGATGGTCGCGAACACGAGGCGGTGCGAGCAGGATGCATCTGCTGCGCTGCTTTGCTCCCTGCGCTCCCTCAGACACTGCTGGCTGTGACTGGGGTGCATGTCTCGAATCCACAGGCACACGAGGGAGCCATTCTGCAGCCTCCGCGTGTTCTCCCAGAACTCCGTCCTGCAATCGGGGCAGAAAAGTTAATCACCTATTGATTTATATTCAGAACTCCCACCCTTAACACCAAGCAGAAAAGCTGAGGCACATCACCGACCTGCACGGTTGTTCCATATCAAATCCCTGGAACAAAATCGCAGTGTTACCTATTACGGGAGCGCCGACCACTCGGCATGGGAGGCTCAAGAAAGTCAATTAGAAAGTACACGCCGCTGCGCTTATCAGTGTTGATCGACAGCACGTGCACGTCCCTGAGCAGATACACGTCCATGTCCTCGGAGGAGAACCCCACCACGCCCTTCATGTCGTCTGTCAGACCCCGCACCAACTCCCTGTCCGCCCGCACCAGCCCCATCGCCTCCTCCCTGCCCGCACTGCTGCCGCAACTCCTCCAGCTGCCGGTCCCACCGCCACCACCGTTGCTGCTGCCATCGCCACGGGCGGCCGTGGAGGATTCGTGGTTGAGGCGGTGGAGGAGGAAGAGCGCCTTGCTCCAGAGGGGGGCGATGAGGTCGTGGCGCAGCAGGCGGAACTGGATGTCCACGTGGCGTCCCACCGAGCCTGCTGGCAGGTGGTGCGGCTCGCTGGCGTGGTTGTGTGGGAGGTATGGTGACGCCTTGCAGAGAACCTCGTCCATTGTTGGAGGCACTGAGATCTGCAGTCGGGCAGGGTGGTCACAAGGACAGGGGACCATGAGCATGTGGCTCGGCCAATGGAAAGCTTCTTGAGTATGATTCTCGTAGATTGCAACAGGTTAAAAAATATAAACTGGATATCAAGCAGGAAATTGTACTGCAAAAACTTCAAAATACTAAATCTGACAGCTAAAATTTAGCATGTCGGACTGAGAACTGAGCAAGTTGAATATTACAGCTGAGATGTCGACATGGTCGTTATCATGCCGTGGATGGCCCGCCAGGCTGAGCTCACCCGGCCCATCCACGGCTTGCATGCTTGAGAGGCGCTGACCTGCAGCAGGACAAGTATGAGTTCAGGCTAAAACAATTTGCTCCTATGAGGAAATTATGTCAAGTGACATCCACAATTAACGGCGTGGTGTCTTTGAAAGAAACGCTTTCATTCGTCTAGTGCGTGCACGCGTCAGTGAAGTGGAGGGGCGAGCGGGAAAGCGAACCTGAAGGGAAGAAGTCTTCGTGCAGCATCTGCCCTTCCTCCGCCCTCCGTTTCTGCCTCTCGCTGTGGCTCCTCACATCAACAGCCCTCCTCAGCCGATAGATGACCGATTGCAGATGGTGGTACCTGCCATCAAACACCGGCTGCTCCCCCTGCCACCTCTCCAGCATACCCTCCAGCTCCTGTAGGTCCCTGCTGGCCTGTGCAGCGGCGAACAAGGAGTGGAAGCGCAGCACGGTTTCATGAAAGAAGCTGAGCACGATGCCAAACGCCACGTCCCACTCCCTCATACCATTGTCGTCTCCTCTCCCGTCTCTTCCCCCGTCTGATCTCCCCAGGTCGCGGATCATGCCGCGCTGGGTGAGCAGCCTCATGCAGGCGACCAGGTAGTCTTGAAAGCCGTCCACCTCGGCGATGGCTGCTAGGGTTGTGTTCACCTTGCTTGATGCTGGGTTGTTGAAAAACGCAGGCTGCGACCATGCAGGAAAAAAAACACGGAGAGAAAAACGTAAGACATGAGCTCTCCCGAAGATGGCATGGCATCTATGAGTGCTCCAGAGAACTATAGGTAAGGATCTGTGGAAGAAAAGACGAAGTGCAACCTACTACCTGACAAATGACTTGTAGCATTGGCAGGATCACGCTCTGGAAGGATACGGTCCGAGGATGGTTCCCAGCTGATACTGATCTTGCAGCACCGCAGCAAACAGCCTCATCGCAGATGCTCAGAAGCTTCCTCCTGCCATAGAGCTTGTCGTCAGCGAGAACGATCACCAGATCTGCACACACCACCCATGACATGAGAATCATTGCTTACGTCAGTCGTACGTCAGTCAGCATCGTGACATAAAAAAACGCAGCTAACGAGTCAAAGGAGGAATCGAAGGAATGGATGACGTGCCTGAAACATCGTGAACCTCCATTGCTTGAACAAAGAGCCTCATCTGAAACTGACTCGAAAATTCCCGGTCGTTCGGCAAGAAGGTCCACAGGCTCGGAGCCCTCCTCTCCTGCCCGTCGGAGCTCGCCGAACCTCCTCGCCCTCCTCCGCCTCGTCCTCCCCATCCCCTGCCGCTCCCACCACGACCCTGACCTCCCTGATAGAACCCAGGCTGCTGATATCCCCCAAGCTGAAATCCGCCATGCCTTGGAGAATAATCGTCCGTTGCGCTTCCGGAGCTTCCTGGTCTGCCGCCATGGCCGCCGAAAGTCCTGCCTCGTCCTCGGTTGCTTTCCCGTGGAGAGCGGACCGAAGAATCCATCGCGCTGAACAGCCAGAGAGGCGTCTGACGACCTCTGGATTGCCGCTGTTGGCCATTTACACGAAGCAGCAGCGACAATCTACGCGGGCTTGATGCGAATGAGTCACGCGCGCATGACACGATGCCAGATGGCAGCTCGTTTCACGATGGTCCTCTCGCCTTCTTCACGGCAAACGGTTGGGTGTTTCGTAGGAGAGGCTTCCTGCACGCCATGCGGAGCAGAATGCGCTGAACCGGGAATTCATTGGGAGAGACGAACAAGCGGGCGAAACAATAAGCTCGGCATGCTTGAGACAAAACGGATATGAACCGAACATTTTTGCGCCGCATTGGGTATAGGTTAGGATTCCGATATGATGGGCATCAACTACAGGTCTCCAGATAGCATACAGAATTCAAATGAAGATTATGAACATCTGTATCTTATTTGAAGAACAAGATAAAGTTGCACATCCACACCATGCCATTCTGCACCACACCACACCGAAATCATGCTTGATAGGCTGAACGGTGGTTGGCTGCTCCTGCTAGGAAGTGTGACTGATGAGTGGTTGGTTGGTTGGTGGCTGTGGCCTGGCAGGTGTGCTTACTATATGTGTGAGCAACCCCTTGTTTCTTAGCAGTCCCTGTCATCCTGAGAGGGGTTTGTCAGTAACATGGCCTGTTTGTGGTGCCGTGTTCTGTATGTGCATGCATGCTTCGTCCCCTGCGGTGTATGGGAAGGTTCCATGCCCTCTCTTTGCCACAACCGCATCAGAGTCGTGTGCCTCTCATGCTAGCTGCACCTCACTGAACGAGGGCTTGGCAAGCAGCAGCCAAGTCCTGCTCATTGTGGTTTCAGCACTGTGAGCGAGGGCCTGGGGCAGCCAAGTCCCCCTCATGCCATGGCAGCCCATCGGGCGAGCCCCACTTCACCCTCACTCAGGGGAACTGAACAGGACTTGTCATGTAGTAGCGAAGTCCTGCTCGTGCCACGGCATGCCGTTGGGCATGTTATCATGCCAGTGGCACAGCACTCGCAGGAGGACACTCTCCGTCCTGCTTGGGTGTTTGTGCCCAGGCGCCTTCCAGTCTGCCCACCCCACCCACCTAAACTACAACATGCAGACACATCCCAGCACAGCACAGCGCAACACATCACACCTAGCACACCTACGCACACCTAGGCGAAGCTAAGCATGGATAAGCGCAGTGAAGAACAGCTAGGCACAGCCAAGCACAGCAGCAGCCCATCTTTTGACCTCTTGGTGGTAAACCACCATACTGCCTCAGCCCACATGTCTGCTACCACGCCCTGCACATCACCACAAGAGCCACTTATGAGACATGGAAGAAAGAGGAAATGGAAGAGAGGGCCACTTACAAGCTGCAAAAGCGCACAAGACCACAGAAGTGAAGCTGTTTAAAGGCACGAAGTGAGAAATCTATGTTAGCAAGGCCAGCAAATTTCCCTCCAGAATCTCCCACCACACCTACCACGCAGAATAAGCAGCAGTGCTGTTGGTGCCACTGCTTCCCCTGCAGTTGATGCCAGGGACAGCAATGCGATGCGACATATGGAGGGGAGGAAGGGAGAGAGGAGAGAACGAGCCAACAAGGAGAAGGATGAAGGGAGACGATTAAAGCCTAGACAAGAACCTTCGATTAAACGAGCCTAGACGATTAAAGCCTGCCCTTCACTGAAGTTGAAACCTAGCAAGCACCCCCTGCCACATACCACATTCCAGCTAAGTGCTTCCTCCTCCTTGGCAGAACCTGCGGCTCCTTCGTCACCCCAAGCAGCACACTGCTGCGGCCCGTGCTCCAGGCTCCAGGCTCCAGGCGTGCTGCTCCAGGTTGCTCGTCGTCTGCTGTTGATATTTGCAATACGAGGGGTCTGTGGATTCTGAGTTGAGCCAAAGCCAACCACTGGCGAGATTTCAGTAGAGAAAGCAGTGAAAGTGATGAGAGCTTGGCATCACAAAGGGAAAAGCGTTTGGAGGAAAAAATAATTGGCTGAAAAGGCAAGGCGACGTTGCTCCTGCTGCTATAACTCACCAGTGCTGCTGCATTCTCCAACGCCGCTGCTGTGTCTCGCGCAGGAACGGAGCCCGCAAGCTTGTCACCCCCCGTCCACTCCCTGCCACTCAACTCCGTCTCGCAGACCGAGAAGCACACACACGCGAGGGAAGGGACACACGCAGACAGAAGCAGCGCAGCAAGGGAGGGTTAGAAGCAGCATGAGAGAAGGAGAGTGGCGGAGGCAAGGACAACATACACGACTCTTGCCTCTGCGCGGCGACCACTACGACTCAATTCACGGCCCCCCTGCAAGCACCCCCTGGCACGTACCACGCTCCGTCCGCTGCTCTCCCACTCCTGCGCCACGCCTTCACGTGAGGCGTCCCCGTGCTGCCAACGCTCTCCGTTGCGCAGACCACGGGGCACACACACACATGGGGAGAGAGGGACATGCACGAACACATGGCGCAGCGACGCCCTACGACTCAATTCACTCCCCCCCAGCAAGCACCCCCTGGCACGTACCGTGCTCCCTTCGCTGCTCTCCCACTCCTGCGCCACGCCTCCACCTCAGGCGTGCTGCTCCAGGTGTACTGGAGCACACAACTGGTTGGTCAACTGGTTGGTCAACTGGTTGGTCAACTGGTTGGTCTGATGGACTCACAACTCCTTGTGTGCTGGCCTGGCCATCATCCTGACCATGAAAGGGGGAGTGAGGCGAGGGGATCATGTTAGCTGCATAGAGTAAGGCAAGAGAACAAGCCACATAGACAAGGGTGAAGGGAGACGGAGCTCTGAGACACCCTGACAAGAGCACGGGCGGCATTGAACAACCAACAAATAGAGGGAACTTGGTTGTGATAGGATAAGCTGCACTCACCCCTCCTTTTCTGCTGCAGCCGCCACTGCAGCTGCCATTGACGTTGCAATTGAGTGACGGTGCCACCACTGGCACCGTTGCTGCCCATCTCTGTTGGCTCGGCACTTGGCTATGTCTCACTCCTCCACTGCTGCTGCTGCTGCTGCTGCCACCAGTGCTGCTGCTGCCAATGCGGCTGCCCACGGCGCTCCCTCTGGATAGCTGCTGCTCTTCTGGTGATGAATGGGCGAAGAGTTGAGAAAAGCAGACTGCAGGAGTGGAGAGTTTTGGGAGCTGAGAGCCATGAAAATCTGGCAAGACACCAGCAAAGATATGTGGGCACCGTGGAAAGATGGTAGACATGACATGAGAACACAAGAAGACGGCGAATGGAGAAGCGGTGTACTGGTTGGTCTAATGGACTCACAACTCCTTGTGTGCTCGCCATCATCCCGCAGCTGTTGCAGCCATCGATGATCCCTGCGTTGCTGCAGCCACTGGTGATCCCTGCCCCTTGAGTGCTGGAGGCGAGGGGAGGATGGAAGGCAAGGAAGAGGAAGTGTGGCGTGAGCAAGAAGAGGACAAGTGAGTGGATGAGAGGCCGAACAGAGTGGATGAGATGGCAGACAAAAGCTGGAGAAGAGACTGAGATAGAATGCCATGCATGGTGCATTCCAACTCCCGGTTACCTCTTGATTTATGGAAACTTAGCAGGAGAATCAAGGCGCCGTTTCTCCCCGCTAAATGGTTGCCTCTCGTCCATTCCCCGTCCGCTCCCTCCCCCTCCGCCTTGCAGGCCATGAGGCACACACACGCACGGGGAGAGGGACACGCACACATAGAGAGGCGGTGCAACAAGTGATGGTCAGAGGCAGCAGGAGGCGAGTGGCGGAAGCAACGGCAACAGACACGACTCTTGCCTCTGCGCGGCGACACCCTACGACTCCAATTCACGGCTACCTGCAAGCACTCCCTGGCATGTACCATGCTCCAGCTGAATGTTTTCCAAAACTTGGCAAAATCTGCAGCTCCTTCGGCCCAAGAAGCACCCTGCTGCGGCCCGTGCTCCAGGCTCAAAGCGTGCTGCTCCAGGATGCTCGTGGTGTGCTGTTGATACATGCAACAGGAGGGGTCTGTGGCTTCTGAGTTGAGCCAGTGGCAAGATTTCAAGGAGAAAGCAGTGAAGCACATGCAATACAGGTGACTCGGTTCGAAGGGGGGTTGTGAGTGAGGGGAAAGGGGGGTTGTGAGAGAGGGGAAAGGGGGGTTGTGAGTGAGGGGAAAGGGGGGTTGTGAGAGAGGGGAAAGCTCTTGGCATTAAAAAAGGCAAAGCGTTCAAAGCTGAAAAAACAAGTGCCGTTGCTACTGCTGCTATGACTCACCAGCGCTGCTGTTGTGTCTTCACATCAGTGCAGGAACGGAGCTCGCAAGCTTGTCACTCCCTGCCATTACCCTCCGTTTCTCAGGCCGTAAAGCACACACACGCGAAGGGAGAGATGCACGCAGACAGAAACAGAGCAACAAGGGAGGGTTACACGCGGTGGAGGGAAACGGAAACAGACATGACTCTTGCCTCTGCGCTGCGACGCTCTAGGACTCACTTCACGGGCCCCCTGCAAGCACCCCCTGGCACGTACCACGCTCCGTCCGCCCCTCTCCCACTCCTGCGCCACGCCTTCATTGTCTCTCGAGCGAGCCAGCAACGAAAGTCCTGTCCGTTCCCCATCCACTTGCTGCCCTTCCCATCGTCTCGTAGGCTGCGAGGCACACACACACATGGGGAGAGAGGCAGCCACAAAGGAAGTATGCAACAAGAGAGGGTAGAGTGGTGGAGGCAAGGATGAAAGACATGACCCTTGCCTCTGCACGGCGAAACTCTATGACTCACTACACTGCCCCCCTGCAAGCACCCCCTGGTACGTACCCCGCTCCGACCAGTGCTCTCCCATTACTGACCAGTCCACCTAGTTGTCTCTCGTGTGCGAGCCAGCACTGGGAGCTTGACCATTTCGCGTCCACTCGCTGCCATTCCCGTCCATCTCGCAGGCCGTGAGGCACGCACACGCATGGAGAGAGAGAGAGACACCAACACAGAAACGGTGCATAAAGAATGGGTTAGAAGCAGCAACAGGAGAGTGATGGAGGGAAGGGCAAGAGACACGACTCTTGCCTCTGCGCGGTGACGCTCTATGACTCACTACACTGCCCCCCTGCAAGCACCCCCTGGTACATACCACGCGACCGCCACTGTGTCTCTGCCTTGTGACGAGCCACTGTGCCGTTGCTGACCCTTCTCCTCGCTGCACGCTTGTCTCTCGTGCCCTGTCCAATTCGCGCCAATCCGCGTCCATTCCGCGTCATTCCGCGTCCATTCCGCGTCATTCCGCGTCCATTCCGTACCATTTCCCTCCGTCTCACAGGCCGTAAGGCACACGCACGCATGGGGAGAGAGACGCACACAAAAGCGGCGCAACAAGGGAGAGTTAGAAGCACGAGGAAAGGAGGCGAATGGTAAAGGCAAGGAAAACAGACGACTGTTGCCTCTGCGCGGCAACGCTCTACGCTAATTCAATGGCCCCCCGCAAGCACCCCTTGGCACGCACCATGCTCCGTCCACCACTCCTGTGCCCCGTCTTCACTTCAGGCGAGCCAGCAACGGAAGTCCTGTCCATTCCGCGTCCACTCCGCGCAATTCCGCGTCCACTCCGCGCCATTCCTCGTTCACTCCGCGCCATTCCCCTCTACCTCGCAGGCCATGAGGCACACACACGCATGGGGAGAGAAAGCACGCACACACAAGCGGCGCAATAGGAAGGGTTAGAAGCAACACGAGAGGAGGCGAGCGACATTTACAAGAACAAGAGACACGACTCTAGCCTCTGCGCGGCGACGCTCTACGACTCACCCACTACCCCCCTGCAAGCACCCTCTGCCATGTACCACGTTCCGTTCGCTACTCCTGCGCCTCGCCTTCACTTCAGGCGCGCTGCTCTTGGTTGCTCGGTTGCTGCTGTTGCTGCTGCAGTCGTTGCTCTCGTCGCGACCGCTACCTCGTCGCCACCGATGACCGCGCAAATAGCAGCGACGTCGCTTTGATGATGGAAACAGTAGCAACGCTGCTCTGACGGCGGAAACGACAGGATAACGGAAGCAGCAGCATCGCCGTTCTGACGGCGGGAATAGCAGCGAATTTGCTTCGACGACGGAAACAGCAGCACGTCGCTTGACGGCGGAAACGACCATCCCGGCGGAAATAGCAGCGACTTGGCTTCGATGACGGCGGAAGCAGCAGGGACGTCGATTCGACTTCGGAAATAGAAGCAACGATGCAATGACGGCGAAAACAGCATCGCCGTCGATTTGACAGCGAAAACGTCAGATATGTTTTGTAGACGCCGGAAACCGCAGTTAAATTTATTTTGACGGCAGGAACAACAGTGACATCGCTTTACCGGCGGAAGCAGCATGACGGCTATTGCAACGAAGACGTCGCTTTTCTAGCGGAAATAAGGGCTACGTCGTCTTGATGACGTAAACAGCAGCGACGTTGCAGTGACGGCGAACAAGGAAATGTTGATACGATGGTCGAAGCAGCAGCAGCGTTGTCTTAGCGGAGTGACGTCGCTGACTGCTTGATATCCGTTTCTAGTGAAAAGCCGTCCTGCTATCCATCTCAGCTGGAACGCCATCTGAATTAGCATCTTAACATAGCATCGTCCTGCTATCCATCGCAACTGACGTACGAAACCTCATAAACGTCCTAAGAACCTTTGACATTCATATGTTTATCGATTGCCAGAAACGACGCGGCTAACAAACTATGACCAGAAACTAAGGTTAGTGCAGGTATGCGGGTACTAGGGCTAGTGCGACTAGCAGCTCACACGGCTGGACCTGGAGGTCGGGGCGGAGATAAGGAAACGGCGGACCTGACTGCAAGATAGTGCAAGTGGAGCAAGGGAAGCGAGGAATGGAGTTGAGAGAACAGTGAATTCTGCTGAGGAGCTCCCTCCTCTCTCTCAACAACCAGAGGAGAAACCAAGGGAACATCCACCCCACTGTCTGACAGGGCGGCTGAATTTCCAATGTGAGGGAGGGAGCAGAAAGGAGGCTCGAAATGACGCAGCGAGGTTCGGATCATCAGAGAGCAACGGGGTTCGGCTGCCGAGGCTGTAGCAGAGGGTAAATTTGAAAACTTTGGAGGGAAACTGAAGGCTCGGTGCGAACAGACGAGACCTAGATGGAAGAGAAAGGGAGATAAAAGTTCACTGAACAAAGTGTGGATCTGGCAATGTTATGTGTATACTGATCAACATAAATGGGGTTTTGAATCTTGCTAATAAAGGCTCTGATTTTTATGCATTCTTGACACTTCGTACACAAAACTGCTCTGCGTTATGGTTTCAAATAACCTTGTGATAATGCAAACTACAAATAGCATAGCAGAGTACCGTAGCTCTACGACGGTGCTGATCCCAAACTCTACTGTAGCATGCTACGTGCCCTACACATCATCTCCTTCAGCCCTCTACAATTACTTTCCGTCCTTACAAAAGCTTGCCAAATGGGTCATGCAGCTCCCCTCCACTATACCCTCGTTTCCCTCTCCATGCAGTCTTGCTCGTCTTCCATCATGCTCCACTTGCCACCAGCGATTGCCAGCCTGCAGATGGCATGATGCCCTGCCACACCATGACACAATATGCCATGCCAAACCATGCCATGCCACAGCATGGCATAACACACCATGCCATGACACACCATGACATGCCACACCATGGCACCAACCAATGACATGAAACATCAAGGAATGTCGCACCATGCCAAGGGTTTTCAGCCCCTTCCGCTCTCACTCACCCACCCAAGGCGTTTCAGCCTAATTCTTTCTCACTGGACCACCCAAGGGGTTTCAGCCCCCATCTCACTCACCCACCCAAGGAGTTTCAAAACCCGCTCACTCATTCAGGGAGTTTCATCCACATTCCCTCCCACTCACCCACTCAAGGGGTTTCAAACCGTTTCCATCTCCCACTCACCCTTCCAATTGAAGGGGTTTCAATCCCTTTCCCTTTCACTCAATCATCCACAGGATACAAACCCCTTCCCTTCTGATTCACCCAATCAAGGGGTGTCAGTTCCCCCACACCCAACCAAGGGCTTTCATCTCAATATTTTCCTACTCACCCACGCAAGGGTTTTCAACCCCTTTCCCTCTCACTCACCCCTCTCACTCACCCCTCTCACTCATTCAACCAAGAAGTTTCGTCATCTTTCCTCTCACTCACCCACCCAAGGGGTTTCATCCCCCTTC